TCTTTTGATGCAATGAGAAGTAAAAGCATTTTAGTAATTTGTCTGTTTTCCCCACTAAGTATCTTGGTGTTGATCTTTTCATTATACTGACATCCATCCCTCTGAGTCATATTTACAATATGCTTGGCTGTGTGTATCTGCATGTCCATGCGTATTAATGCATGCATTAGTGTCACACAGCAAAGCATTGTGCCTCCCATCCTCTGTGCTTTAGTCAGTGTTGAGTGTGGAGCCTGGAGCGGGCAAGCAATAAATTGTACACTGAATTTAACATGAGGGGACGTCTAGTGGCATCATATTAGGCATGTTAACTATTACACCCGTGTCAGTGGGTGATGTGGACCCATTTATGGGAACATATGAATCATAAAAGGCATGGAAGAAAGAAATAACTGTGAGCTGCAAAGTAAGATGGAGCTCTTTTATTGAGTTTTAGGGTGTCTGACATTCCTAGCTTGCACCAAGAACAATACCTTATGTCTGATCACCTTGGTGACTTAAGCAAATTTACAAAAGAATAAGGAGGTAAATATGGTATTATAATGACACAACCATTGGCAAAAGCTAAGAAAACAAACCCCATATTCTGTTCCTAATACAATAGATAAATGAATACATGGACTAATGGTGTCAGTCAAAACTACAATGGAAAAAAAACAAGTTCGACTTTCTACCTTTCCAACTTTTAAATGATATTTGTAAAAAAAATAATAATAATAAATTTAATAAATAAATACAATTATTACCATTCTTTTATAACATTACACTGATTTAGTGAAGGTTTATTATTTATTTATTCTCCTATAAATTGATGTATGATGGTTTACTGTTATTCTTGGAACATTCTAGGAAACCTGAAAGAGTTCATTCCATAAAAGAAATTTTACATTTGTATGTATAGCATTCAAAGAAGTTTACAGCCTTCTTTGAATGCTATAAAGAGTGCCTTTTGAATGCTATGTTGCAGCATTCATTGTTTTGTTTGTTTTTTACATTGTTTGACCCAAGAGGACAGGAGAGGAGAAAACACTGAGTACAAGAATATAAAACCACAAAGCTGACATTTCAGGAAGTCATCCTGCCGCCCATTTCCTTCAGATTACAAGGCCATGAGTGTGCCCGCGGCGTGGCGCCACACTTCACTGCCACATTAGTCTTTCTTCACCTCCGAGTCATTCATGCAGGTGTTTCGCTGCAGTCACTGTCACGGTTTATCGTGGCCCTGACTGACAAGAGGCGGGTCGGCTCTGTGTTAGAGGTGTAATTATTGCTGTGGGTTTAGGGGCTGATGGCATTGTTGTCATCATCTGTCTGCAGTGACACAGACGGATGAAGGGCAATAACAAAGACTCACTGTCTACCAAAGTGAAGAGGGGAGAAGAAGGTTTATACAACCTAAAGGGTACTTAGACAGGCTTTATTCTTCAGACAAGCGGATGAGGCATCGTCTGTTACAGGAAGAGAACTGTACATTGAGATTGGGCAGCAAGAAAACAAGTGAATTCCAGCTGTACTTTGTTACATACAGAGTTGTTGATGTTTGTGTTTGTGTGTAACTGCTGTTGTGCACACGGTCACGAGGACCTGCCTTCCTTACTGGAACACAAAGCAAATGTGGCAAGCAGTTATAGCAAGAGTTATAAGTGGGAAATAAATGGAGGTCGAGAAAATTTCTTCTGAAGTTATGGAGACACGAATGTGTGTGTCCTCGACCTCATTTGTGCTTTGATACTTTTTTTGAATTACTAACATGCCAACACTGATCTCACCTAATCTTTATTCAGTTCCACTTAAACCCACAACAAATCCAACACCGTTCACACTACCCAAATTATCCTATTGGGATAATCTATATAATATTAATATTATTAATATAGACCAAGCTCTATCAGATTTATACTCTTCATACTGGACTCTGTGCTTTCCACTAAGCAATATTTACATGTGTCATTAGTGAGTAATGACAGAAAAATGTGCGAGGTCAGTGGTGAAAAAGTGTAGTTATTAATCAGTGAACATAAAGCATGAATACAGTGAAGCCTATTTCACAGTCCCCCCCCTGCACACAACATATTTCATGTTGCTACATAGGAACCAGAATAGATGCATTAATTACCTTCTTAGGCTTTTTGTCTTTATGCGCTCACAACGCCAACTTTCCTCTCATTTGTCTTCAACACTCCCAATTCTGGCCCAGGTGAGTGTGTGTGTGTTTTCTGTAAGTCCCAGGCTATTTAAAGCAACAGTTTGATGATTAACAGAGTTTCATGTGCTTTCAGTATACACTATAGTGACAAATAGTGGTTTTAACAGGCAATTCTAACCTGATCCTTTTAGGCTTTTCCAAGCAGTGCTTTGAAGCAGCTCACCACTTCATAGGAAAATAAATGGTGACGGTAAATGCCTGCCAACAAGCCCAGGTGTGTGTCATCTACCCCAATTCTGCCAAGTAAGGGAGATGTGTGTGAGTCACGACTGCGATGTGCGAGAGCATTAGTAACTCAATTTTTGTTGCCAGCAGTAGTTAGTTTGAAGTGCAGCTCTTTCAGCACTCTTAAGCCAACTTCTCCTGCAAAAATTAGATGAGGTTGAGGAGCTTCCTTATATGAGACCTGGTGTTCTTGTCGGTTCAGATGATTTAATTTTTACATCCTTAAAAAGAACATTTGGAAGACTCGATGTACTGTTAAAAACTATGTTTGAAAATCAGAAGTGAATACATGAAGCACAGTCCCCTTTATTTGTTACACTTAAAGACATACACGCACATGAAGGACCTGATTTGTTGAGTCAAAACATTTTAACTGTATCAGGCAGGCATGAAACAAAATCACAGGTCATCAGCGCAGTATGTCTCGCTGTTTCCTGCCAAAGTATTTCTGTTTTAAATTCTCTTGGAGTCACCCGAGCAGCTGTTCCTCCATCTGATTCATGCAGGAATAATGAAGGTGGAAGAGCGGCACTTCTGTGTATGCCAAAGACCTGAATGTGGAATGCATCCTGGCTGAATCATGTCTCCTGACAGATGTCACCTCTTGAAAAACAAAAATCTGTCAGCACTACATCAACCAGAAGGCAAAACCGATGACGTTAAGCTTTACATTGGGACCAGATTTTTCTTTTCCTTTTGTCTTTTGTATCCTTGAGAGTCCTTTGGGTCCTGAGGTCATTCTTTCAAAGCAGGATTATAATACTGTGTTAAAACCTAGGGACCACTGGCAGGAAGATCGGAGCAGATTTTTTATTATGCAGAGAGACGAAGCTTGACAAATTAAATATACCCCTTTCATAGCAGGCTTCTTGATTTGTCAGAGCAGTAAACGCGCAGGTGAAACCAATTTTGTTAATTATTCCATCAAGCGTCCCAGTGAGCCAGCGTTTACAACACAGAAACCTGGAAGCAACCCAGCTCAAAGGAATGCAGTAATTTTAATGTCATTAGTATCACCTCTTCCTGCTGTGACAAATCGAGAGCACATTCCATTAACTGTACTACCATATTATTTACTGTGCCAGAAATGATTTAATGTGTCCTAACGTTTAGTGTGTCAAACGTAGTATGCTAAAAGTGCGGAATGTCCAACTTCATTGGGTCATATTTTGTTGCAGCACACCAGAGCACTTTTTATGCATTCTGCCCAAGTATCATTTGCAACTGCTATATCTCTAGTAGGGCTCAAAGTTAATGGTACGATGTTATGATGAAGTAGTGTGTCCTAACTTTAGCAATACTGTTAGTACAGCAGTACTTTTCATGGGCAGCTGCATCATCATCATCAACTTTATTTATAAAGCACTTTAAAACAACCACAGCTGACACAAAGTGCTGTACATTGGAACTGTAAAATAAAATTACATGAGATATAAATAAAAAACAAATAAAAGAAGAGTGAAATCATTAATTAAATAACTACTTCAATTAAAAGAGAAACTAAGTCTCACTGAGGTTAAAAGCCAAGGAATAAAAGTGGGTTTTAAGACGTGATTTAAAAGTGGACAGTGAAGGGGCCTCTCTAACGTGCATGGGCAAATTATTCCATAATTTTGGAGCCACAATAGAGAAGGCCCTGTCCCCTCTGAGCTTCCTCCTGGATCTCGGTACCTCCAGGAGCAGCTGGTCAGCTGACCTGAGAGACCGACAGGGTATGTGGGGATGAAGAAGCTCAGAGAGGTAAGGCGGGGCAAGACTGTGAAGGCATTTAAAAACAAACATAAGAATTTTAAAATTAACTCTAAAAGACACAGGCAGCCAGTGCAGAGAGGCTAGCACGGGGGTTATATGCTCTCTTTTTCGAGTTCCTGTTAGGAGTCGTGCAGCCGCATTTTGAACCAGCTGCAGACGTGAGAGCAATGAAAGAGAAAAGAAAAAGCATGTAATCTGGTACTCTGGAGCTGAAGTCTGTCGACTTTAAGCTTCAAAATGATTAATTCTCAAGTTCATGTTTGTTGGCAGACTAAAGGTTAGTTTATTTTCACCACATTTTACTTAAATTTAAATTTAACTAACTCAAGCAAACAGCTGGAAAAGTCAAAAATCATGTATAAAGATTTCTGTGATGTCATCTATTGTTTTCTAGGCTATTGTTTTAAATCAATCTTAGTCTTTTAAGCAGACATCAAAATGTATTTTGTAATGTGTTATAGATTACTATTCTAAAAGAAATGCAAGTTGCCTTTCTTTTCACCTGTAACATGTCCTGAAATGCACTGTAAGATAATTACCAGTTAACAGTATAAACCTCGTGCTACAGTCACACACACTGGCACAAATCCCTGTACGACCGAGGACGCATGTACCATTTTTACAGTGTTTCAATTTAAACACAGAGCCAACAACACAAAGCAAAGCTGAGAACCTGCCTAAAGAGACTGATGCATTCACCACACTGATTCAACAATACAAACATGTAGAGTAAATATATACAGTCCAAATAAAAACACTCGTTAGGCTACATTTAAAGACATGCAAGCATGGAAAAGTATTTGTATTACGACATAACCTAATGTCAGCTAGACCGAAATTAAAATTTAATATATTGTTAAAGTCACTAAAATGGCGCCTGAAGCCTGTTGTGAGCTCTGTGTCTGCTCTAGAAACTCTGAAATCCTGTAGATCTGAGAGCCGTACATTAAATACTCACATGAACCTGTACTTTGAATTCTGTATGAGCTGTATAAAATGCAGCTATGCATAAGAGTTTTGAATGAATAATTAGATTAGATAACTCTTCATTGTCTAATCGAATTATATAGAAATGAATAGAAAGTGGTTCTTTAGACTGATGCCATAGAAGAACCTTTTTTGGTGCCACAAAGAACCTTTCAAACAATGTTTTCAAACATGAGAAGGTGTGTTTTTGACTGTTCCTGCATAACTTAGTTTCGGACTAGTTGACAAGTTATGCTCCGGTCATTTGATGTTTCCAAGGTAGATGTTCTTTTGTAATATAGTTAATTTTTTTGTATATTTCATTTATCCACCATCATACATCATACATACAAGCTAAGAAGAGGTCGTTATACTAACAAGAGGTATCAACGCCGGGCCAAAGTTCAGCACATTTGTAATCCAGCCAGGGTGTAAATATCACTCAGCAGCCAGAGCTGAAGCAGGTAGCATCAACACATAAATCTACTCTTCCTGGCTTAAATCACAAGAGCACCTCTGACCAAAAAGCTGTAGATTTTTCTTGTTTGCACAAATTAATCCAGATTCACATTAATTGTGTTCACAGCTCCAACAAAATGAGGAAGAGGAGGGGCAGAAACACAATTAGATTGAATTACAATTGGATGGAAGGCGAGGACAAGAAGAAGGAAGCTTAGGATGAGGAGGAAGAGAAGCAGCAGGAGCATCTTTAGGGATCCCTATGATGTCATTGAGGTTTGTTTCATTAATATGGTCCTCTCACAAAGAGCGATGACTTGTTTTAGTTCACGTACTTCCTGTATTAAATAGTGATGTGCAAAATGTTGTGAAAAACCATGGAGCAGGTACGTATAGTGCATCTGCAGGTAAATGAACATCAAATCTCTGAGACAGACTGAAATCTGTATATTTATCACCCTTATGATAAAACCCATGTCAGCCATTGGTTTATGGACTTTGTATTTAGAAGCCTCAACATTTGCTTTCTTGCTGTTGCTATGTTGGGACCATATTAGGATGAGGGATCAGAATCTGGAGTCATGCACACTATTGTTTCATTTAGTGTGTATCCATAAGATTCGTACAGCAGATCCAAGTTGTGCCCTGAAAACAGGAAAGTCGTCTGCATAGAGGAGAACTGTAATAGCAGGCTTGTACAAAGTGAGGCTTTGTGCTCTCGTTTTACTTCTGTCACCCTGTTTTGATGCAGATTTCACTTGAAATCAGGCAAGAACTGGACTTATTTTTTATAATGTGTTCTTGTGAATTAATTGTGTATCGCATATGTTTGATTTGACTTTCTGCAAGACAACAGTCGTCCGCTGGCCAAAAAGTTTTCCAAATACCTCCACGTGATCTAGCCTGGATTTAGAAAAGAATAGCAAAACAAAATCTAGCACCTCCTGCTTCAGATGCAATTTGTGTTTCTGTGTTCAGAGGCAGCGGCGAGAGGGGAGACCTCGCTCATCCAGCTGGAGAGCCTGACCAGGAGGAGTCGAACATTAACTCAGCTCTTCCAGGGCACCCTGCAGACTCGGCTCTGGCACGCACAGGGATGACGTGAACGCCAAACTGGAGTCCATCACAGGTCAACTGCAGGTATGCGAGTCAGACCTTCTGAGGAGGGTTTCACTTTTCTCTCTTCTTTATAATTGACTCTTTTCTCTCTCTTTCAGCTCCTTGTCTCAGAGTGGGAGGGATTTGAAGCACAAAGGGAGGAACTTGTCGTTTGGTTGGCTGATATGGATGTCCGCCTGAGAGGTTGACCAGCTGACAGGAAACACCAGTGAAAAACTGAAACAACTGCAGGTGTGGGCTTGTTTTGATATGACATATATTTGATATGATACATACGTCAGAGACATTATCCTAAACTGGACTAACAAAGGACCATGAGTACAACATGAAACGTACATTACATAGCGTAAGGCTGAAGTTCATTGATCATTTTAATCATAAACTTGTTGTTGAAATATTTTTACTGAACATGCAAACATCTGCTGATGAAAATGTGTTGATTTATTGGTCTGTTATGAAGCTATTGCTATTTCTAATGTGTTTTATCACTTTCTGATGTTTTATTAATTAAACAATACATGTATTATTTGTTGTGTTATCTGTAGCTATAGTATTTATATATATTTATTTATAGTATAGCAAATATATTTAATTATTACTGTTTAAAACACTAATATGTGACATGTATTAGTAGTGATGTTGTGCTGAGGGTTAAAATGCCTTTTTGTCTTTTGGTAACTACAAAATGACAATAAACCATTAATATATGTCTATGCTGTGCTCGTATTTATTTTACCCTACTCAAATTCAATTTATGATGCATTTTATTTTGAAAGATTTAAAATGGTTTTTTAAAGAACCACTCAAAAAAGGTTCTTTAAAATGGTTTTTTAAAGAACCACTTTTTAAAATGGTTCTTTAAAGAACCATTTTTAAAAAGGTTCTTTGAAAAACCATTAAAGGTGCCCCAAAGAACCATTTCTTGATGGTTCTTTGGGGCACCTTTAAAGGTTCTTCAATGAACCACTGAAAGAAATGGTTCTTCAAAGAACCATTGTTTGAAAGGTTCTTTGTGGCACCAAAAAAGGTTCTTCTATGGCATCAGTCTAAAGAACCACTTTTGGTTCCAGTTGGCACCTTTATTTTTCTGAGTGTATGGTTGCACCCACGCAGGGCTTTTCAAAGGCTATTCTTTTTTTTCTCGCCTCTGATAGTTGTTGCCTTTGTAAACAAACTAATCCATTTCAGCGATCTTGCAGCACTAGTTTGACAGGAATGCTCCGATTGAGTTTTAACACGCATTAATACCTTAAGCTCATTAAATCTTTTTTTAAACAGTTTTCTTGGCATGTGCAAGATGATATCTGCAACATATCACATTTTGACACAGCCTTAGTAACTGCAGAGAGGCGGGCCAAGACAAACACAGTGACTCTATTTCTAGATCATGTGCATGTGCGGACACTGATGTCATCCTTACTGTGATTCCCTAAAGCTCTGCTTTGCCCATAAACTCAACTTTCTGTGACTGGTCACTTAAACTCCTGCTCTTTGTTAAATTGTGGATGTCTCCAACAGCACCTGTTGCCGTAGTAACAGATTGTTTTACAGGATGATGCTGCTGGAGCGATCCGGCAGCCTTTCGTGGTGTTGTGCACAGATAGAATGAGTTCCATGTGTGGATGGCCGTGGCGGGGCCAGAGCTAGGGGCAAGTCATCATTGTCAGTATAAACAGGGAGGGTGTGGGCCTGATGTGACTGGCTCGTGTTTATCCTCAGACTAACAGACAGTGAAGGCTCTGGAAGAAAATGAAGGCAAATACATAATGAATTAACTAATGCAAGAATTCCAGCTGATTCTCCACGCTTGGTTTCATTAATCCAGAAATGACAGAGCGCTGGTATTGACGTTCCCTACTTTGTGCAAATTCAACATCTGAGTACATCAAGAATCCCGTGGTTATTAGGACGACAGTGTGTCATTGAACGTAAGGCAAAACTTTGGAGCTCAATAACGCACAGACGAAGAACCATCTATAAAATCCAGTAAGAGCTCACATCAAATAAGAAAATCTGTTCAAATAAATCACAGTCACTTGTGTCTGCAAAAAAGAAATATGTACGGTGGCCCTGGGAGGTCAAACGCACTGAAACTTAAGAATACACCAGCGAACAAAAGAAAAGGTGAATAAAACATAATGAAAGCTGAATAAAACACAGTCTAAGCAAAAAAAAAAAGAAAGAAAACTGAAGGTAATTACAGAACAGTTGGAAAGGCGACCAAATCCAGTATCACAGCAAAGCGTGTAATAGACATGCCAGTCCACCGTGTGGATGTCACGCTTTGTCTATATAAGCGTGAAATGGACACGCATATTTAAGTTGCAGCAAACTGCAGTACCAGCAGAGGTAGATATTTCATTTCAAGCCAACGTGAAAATAATTACAGGACAGTGTTTAAATAGACTTTTCTAACACATTTACATGTAAGTACATATTAGCCACCTAGCTTGATATAGTTTAAAAGGTTTCTAGCATAGAAGGATGCTGCCACTTCATACCTTTCTTGGTCACTGCTGACTTCTTGCCTTATATTAATATATTAAATGCATTATCTTAAGCATATGTGGAGAGGCAAAGTGTGTCTCTTACATGCTTTGCCTCGCACTGAGACACGCCAAAAAGAAGCGGAGGAATCGTCTGTATTGTGAGGAAGGAAAAAGATGCAGGTAATGTGTGTTTTGATTACATGATTCTTATAATACTGTAGATACATGTCTATTTTTTAGCTATTTACAGTTAGCTTATTGCGTACACAACTGTCCAGTCCAGTTAGCACCCAAAAACACTTTTGGGGTTTTAGTTTTGGGGTTTTTTGGAAGCTTTTGCAGCATTTTTCCTATTTGTGGGTGTGTGGGTTTTGTTTGTTTGTTTGTTTTTTACTTTGCAGTGCATTTGACCTCTCAGGGCCACTGTAAATATGTAGCTCTACTTGGGTCAGTAAGTAACCACTGCTTCTAAAAGTGTCTAATACTCACCCAGTGTAGGCTTGAGTCTGCAAAAGGTGCAAGGTGATAAGTTTTATAGCAGCTGCACTGAGCTGGATTGACAACATTGTATTTGAATGCTGACCTAAATTCGCAGGATGGAAAATATGAGCACATTAAAAATATTAGCATATTTGGAACAGATTTTGGAGCATGCAGACAGGCAGCGGGGAATCTGATAATGTAGCAGGACTTACTCGGCAGGTTTTAGTGGCGATCTGAATTCACGTGTTTTTGAAGCTCAAAAGTATAGTATTTCAAGTTAGTCACAGGTTTTCCCGAATCCTCTTCTTTTGATGCAATGAGAAGTAAAAGCATTTTAGTAATGTGTCTGTTTTCCCCACTAAGTATCTTGGTGTTGATCTTTTCATTATACTGACATCCATCCCTC